TAGCGGGGTCTGGGGGGGGGCTCCTCACCTGGAGGGCTTTAAAGACAACCGGCAAGTCAACCGCTGCTCCCTCTAGTGCAGGATGGGGCGCTCCAGTCTGCCTCCCTAGCGCTGGGCAGAAACAAACAAAAAAGCTGGGTTTAGAACACTAAATCAGGGGTTTTTTACATTGAAAAAGACTCACCGGGGTTGTCAGAATTTAACTGTAGGCGTGGGTTCATCTGCAATGTGACTGTTTTAATTGAAGTATGAAACTTGGCTAACGGCACTTAGTTTCTAGAAGTTAAAGCATTTAGTTTTAATGTGGCATTCTTCCCTTTAAGAAACCTCGCTGGAAATTTTTGTGTACTTCAGAAAAAGGATCAGCTCTACTGTTATAACTACTCTGATATATGAGAACATTCTCATTTTCACAGGAAATCTAGTTGAGGCTCCTGCAGAATAAAAGAGCTTGATACAATTTCCACAGCTGACAAACTCACTGCAAACAGAAGTTGCTTCTTTGCTCACTTCCGAAGGCTTGGGTTTGCTGTGGCTTTTCAGTTTAATACTTCCAAGGCATACCTGTATAGCAATAAAGTCAGGTTAGAAACTAAAGCACAACGTCCGTGTAGAAGCTGTTATATTTCAGCTCGAGCCTTTTTTTCCTGGGGGAAAAAAGAAATTGCTATGCCTAAATGATACTACAGTAACAATAATTGTGAAGTTTAGCCTTATTACTGCCCCATAATCCACGCAAAGTGACAATGTACAAGACCGATAACCTCTTTTTTTTGTCAGTGAGAGATGTGACTTGGTGATGGATATTTAGGGGTGATCAGGATGATGGGAAGCAGGAAGAATGACTAGGAAGAAAAAAAGCTAAAAAACGGAAGGCATGCTGGCACTCCTCAGATGTTGACTTTGCCTATAATTTGATTTCCCTTTGGCTTCAGCTAGTTTGGGCATTTGTATTTTTAATTACCCTCATGGGAAAGTAGACAAGAAGTGACTGTATCCCACTGGAAACTTAGTCTTCCTAGAAAAACATCTCATTAGGACTGATGGGAAGAACTTTAGCCTGGATGGGAGGGAGAACACGAGCTATTTTTAAGTGGTAATAAGGCTTTATGTTGGCTTGAAATTTCAGTTGCCTGTCAGTCAGCGTCTGCAAGAGAAAACGGGATTGAAAAGTTTAAAAAGAGATGACAGGCTTCATACGCTAAATACTATCTTGCACTTGGAAAACACTAATATAAAAAAATTTTTTCTGGCAGATGACGTTTACCGTAGGAAACGATCTGAAAGACAGTATGAGGCAAGGATGGAAAAAAATGAATTTTAGCTGCAACATTTCAAGGGGAAGGTCCTGAATGCTTCAACTGTATTAATACCAAAGCAGCACTACTGCCACGTTGATGGTAGGGGAAGATTTTGTCTCTGCAAGATGAACTGTAATCCACAAGTTTGTGTAATACACTCTCAGAGGGTTTTGGCAATTTTATTCTTCTTCCATCTACTTCATATCTTTAATATTTTGTATTTAAGCCAAATACAATAGCAAAAAGTTCATTGTGTTTAGGCCTCTGCTACTTATTTAACATTTGTTTAGTACTTATAAATAAACTAAACTGAGAAAACAGTCTGGCTGTTTTCATTTTCCTTGATGAGACACCATTCTTGTGACAAGACCAACAGGAAAGGTTACATACTGCATACATAATATCTCAGCACAATGGAAATAGTAATTTTTAGTTAGTTTCCTTTGTACTGATAGAAACTGCTCAGGCATCTGATTTGTTCCCTTTCCAATGTGCCATAATTTTAACTAGATAAAAAGAGGACAGACTTACTGCTCAGTGTTTACTCAGCCCATGCTGTTTGGAAAGTCGTCTGTGCATTCAGGCTCCACTGCCTGCAAGTGCTGTAACACCCATTGTTGCTGTTCTAACGATGAATTGAGCTGTGGGCTTTGGGGGAAAAAAAAAAAGAGTCTGATGCATTTAGCTGGTAACAGGCACAAGTTTAAAGGCACGTGCAACAGCAGTCCTAGCAACCCCGAATTCTGTTTGCAGGACTCCTGTCTCCCCAAAGAAGGAAAACGGAGCTAACTGCTATATCCTGGACAGCTTTTACTCCCTAACACAGTGACACGAGCTCTCAGGTGTGTGGGACCTAACAAACACAGTGACACGAGCTCTCAGGTGTGTGGGAGCATGTCAGTGACTATGCATTAGGGTGATCGGTGCAGTATTACCAGCGAGGATCGTATGTTAATGCATCGTTTTATTTCTGATGGTATGTGCATACCCTGAGGGTTCCACAATGAAGCCAATTCTTAAGATCAGCCTAGAAACAAACCCGAGGGAGTTCATATACTTACATGCATTCCTGTGCTAACTCCTAACAGCCTTTTTCCACAGAAGTAAGTCTTCATCAACGGAAGAGGCAATGGCTGTTCTGAAGATGTTACGGTGCAGGTAGTCAACTTGCAAGCGGTGGAGGACTAGTGCTACTTGTGTTTTCAGGAGATAAAAAACTGTCAGAGAATTAAAGATGTGACCGTGCTGCTGCATGTTTTGACTGGACAGTAAGTGAATTACTTAGGGACAACCTCTATTTCAGAAGTAGTAAGAACCTAGATTTTTACTTTGGTTCCAAGGTAGAGCCCCAGTTCAAAAACTCATATACGAGCTGCTTTTTGCAGTCACAGATCATTGCACTGAAGTAGATCCTGAGTGCCGCAATACACTGAAGAATAAAGCATTAATAAAAAGCCAGGTTTTGAAAATTGCTGAGCTTTAGCTCCATCTGCCTTTACTTCTTGAGCCTTCTGGAACTCTCTTGTGCTTGGTTTCCATAGAACAAATAAGTTTGTCAATATCTTTGTTTTTTTTAAGAAAGAGCCCTGTGCCCTAGTTACTTCTCAGTACTTGGGAGCCTGGTGTGAAAACTTCCTGTGGCTTCCCTTAAGCACTCCAGTAACAGTAGCAGTGTTTCACAGACATCAGTGAGTCAAGGTCCAATTTTTCACTTCAGAGCTCTTGATTATTTTGCAGCACTGTTTCCCAGTTGCAGCTGAGAGCATCAGGCATGTCTGGAAGATGTCTTGGGTGTCTCCAGGTAGGTAAACAGAAAGTGAGACAGGCTGCAGTCGCTCACAAGTCTGCCGTCAGGGAGGGCTGCGTCACTGGTCTTTGTGACCAGTGCAGGAATAAAATCCTTCTCCAAGTTGGCATCATACCATTTCAGGCACCACAGATCTGTTATGACAGAAGATGAAGCCTGACATTTAGAAATCTGAACTGTATTCTTCATTCCACCATGTGTTTGCTAGTGCTGATCCTTTGGCATTCTTCGATTTTTCCATTTCACTGGAAATAAGAGTAGCTGGAAGGCCCCAGTGCCCAGCCCATTCCAGTACCGACCACACCTGGGGATTTAGTATCCATTTTAATCTACACCCAATCTTCAACAACCAAGGTCTTCATTTGGTTTCTCAGTTTTATCCCTGCTGATTCCTAGTTCTGTGCTCTTTGCCTTCCCCAGCAATCCCTTTCCCATCTTCTTTCTGGCTCTCATCTCCCCATTTCCTTCCTGTCCTCCAGCTTTCCCCCTGTGTGTCTACTGTGGTGGTGGGCAATGGGGAGGAAGCAAGAACTCTCCTTTGGCTCAGAGCTCAGGCCAGCTCTGGGAACACACCGCTGCTGCTGTTACGCGCTGTGGGAGCAAGCCAGGAACACAGCTTTCATTTTAAGCGCCGCTGAGCCCCTGCCAGTTCTGGGGTTGAGCACATCCGTTCCTTCTTCAGGGAGTTCATCTGGTGTCAGCCCAGAACACAGCTCGGCATCTCCCAACAGTGGTCTCGTGTTCACTTCGCAGTGGCCACAGCAGGAGATTCCGAGAATTAGCAAAGCATTTCTGCTAAAGCTTTCCAAATTGTAGAAGTTAGGCCAATATAGATATCAAGCATGTAAAATTCCAACTCAGTAAAGCAGCAGCAGTAAATAGTCATCTGCAAACAAACAGTGATACTTCTGTACGAGCAATGCTGCTCACCACTCCAGCATTAGAGAGGGGACAATTTCACTGCCGATTCAGAATGATGTTGTGGAAAGAATGGATCTGTTCGCTGATCATTTCCCTGCTGTTGTGCACCCAAGGATGCTGCCTGCTGAAAGACCTGTGGCGAGCCAGGGAAGTACTGAAAAGAAGTTCTGGTAAAGGAAGCACGTATGTGCCCAGCCTGTACTCCTCCCTGGCACAGGGGTGCAGCAGAGTTTTGTCCCGGCTTTTCAAGAGTAGAAAAAGGAAAAAAATAGTCATCTGTTATGTATTGGTGAATTCTTCCCTGGAGCAAAACTTCTACTATCTTCAGTGGAGGCGAGCTTTCACTTTGGACTTCATACACAGATACAAAACTGTACCTGTGCTCCGGTTATAGCCAGCCCCAGCTCCTCCCAAGAAGGGTGCAAAAATCTGCAACAGGCACTGGTGGGATGACTGGTCCCGAGGAATTTCCTTAAGTTGTTACTGGATGTTGGTGCTTCGCACCAGGCATGAGGATCAATTACAGTCCTCCCAAAAATCATCCAATGGAAACTGAATTTGGGCACTCCCTGTAGAGACAGTTGCACAGACTTCACGAACGATCGACCATTCTTTGCCATTTTTGTCCAAGGCTTTCGTCGTGCTTAGCTTAGCCCAGGCTGAGCCACACCGGTTACTGGGTCTGCTGTACAATTCAGTGCATTCTTCTCCGTTTCTTTTCATGTCTCTCCTGCTGCCTCCTTTAACAGATGACAATCTGCATGGCCAGACTTCTGCACTGGATTTCTGATCCCTCTTGGCACAGGAAGGACCGACTGTAGGAGACCACCGTGTCCCCGAGGCCTGACAGAGACTGGGCATCTCTTTATCTAGGATCACCAGATCCTGCTGCACTGCAGCAGCTGTCCCTTTGTTTCTTTGTAGGACGGTCAAATTAGACTTGCTGGAAAATGCAGTAAGCAAAAGGAATATGAGGTTTATTTTATTAATCGGAAAATTTCACATGTATCAATGAATCAGATCCCATTTCTTTCTTGATGTTCAAAGTACCCAGCCATTTTGAAGCACCGCTCCAATTTAGTGCATTTGCAGTCAAGAGGGGGCTATGTACATCTACAGATGATCTTCAGTATCTCAGACTGAGCAAACAAGACGTGGAGGATGATTAGAATTAGTCTCTGTGCAACTACACCATCCACCATCAAGTTTTAGAAAGGTGGAAGTTCTGTAAAGCTGGCAGCCTGCATGACAGGCAGTGTTTATCCCCCAGGTCCAAGACATGAATGCGTATTAATTAAATATAACGCTATCTGTTCTGGTTGTTTAAATAGCTCTTTGTAAGTTGTACGTCAGAGGTACCTTGAGACTCAAGACCACTTAATTTTTTTGGTATTAAAGAAAAATTCTATCTTGGTTTTTAATTTTATTGTGTAAAAGATGCTTTTTTCCATATTACTGTTCTAATTTCCTTTATTATACAGCTACATAAAAGAAAGACCTGAACCAGGTTAGCTTCCAGTATGAAATTAAGGCTTGCTATTTATTTTCAAAGCAACTAATGTGGGGGCAACTGGGACTGACTGAATCTTATCATCTCTACTCAGCTTTTTCTCAGTGCATCACATATTTTTCAAGGTTTACTGTTCATGCTCCTTATGGCTCAATTTTCAACCGTATTTTTCAGCATTTTACCAGGCACGTCTTGCAATAGAGGACAATATAAAAAAGATTCTTTACCGTCACACAAGCACGCATGTACCAAGGACTTGATAAAAATCTGGATCAGCAACAGCCAGAATTACTTGAAATAAAATCCTAACAAAAGTCTTGATGGGACACTCAAACCTGGTTAATCCAAAACACTTTGCAAACTATTTTTATTCAAATTAAAAAGACTCAGGTAAACAAAGTGACGGTACATACATGTTATAAACCTGGTTAGCAGCTTAACCTTCAGGAGTACAAGATCTAATGAAAAGCCAAGCATGGATTAACCAGGTCCGAAAAACATATGCTGAAAAAAAGTCAACAACATCAACGTTTTGATTTTTATACAAACAGTAAATTTTCTCATGGAAGGGAAGGACTGAGGAAGAGAACAAATAATTATTAGTTGTCTCCAACTGGTTTATGAAAATACCGGTCCTAGATTAATCTATTTTCCACTCTCACAGAAGCCAACCATTTCCCATACATACTTTTATTTTGATATGAAAGTTTTGTTTACGCCAGTACAATGAACGGCAGTGGAAAACAAATGAGGGGTTCAAACACCCACAAAGAGAGAGAAAGAGAAAGACAGACAGACATGTCTTTTTTTTTTTTTTTTTTTAAACCAGAGTCAGAAAACAGTTTCTTTTGCTGGTTTTGAATTCTAGACTGTAGCCATTATATCCTAAATTTTACTGCAATCGACTGAAATGCCTCCAATATGCAGAGACATGATTTTGAAATAAATAAACAAAGCTTAAAATAATCGATTAGGGCCAGCCCAGTGGCTTAGCGGTAGGGTAGTGCTCTGCACTGCCTTGCGGGAGGACCCAGGTTTTGTTTGCACTTCCAATCTCTTGCTCCTGGGCCAGAAAGAGCAGTGAAGGTAAGGCTTCAGCTGCTCGGGCAGGAGAGAGCCAGTGCTGCAAGTCTGCTCATCACTGACCTTCAGATAAATTAAAAAATCTGAGTTATACAGGCTCCAAAGGGAGTCCCATCCAGTCCTCAAAAGAAAATAAATAAAGCAATAACTTAACTAAAATCCATCCCAGGTTCTTTGGTGTAATTTTTATTAATGCTGAGAAGTAGGAGAATCTGGTGGTGTATTAGTACAATCCATGATAGTTCCAAATACTCAAAAACTCAAATTTACTGCCTGATTCGCTTCAACGTCCCGTCTTTGTGGCTAAAAATTGCAAAGCCTATGGTAATTTAAACACATTTTAAGATGATACTATATATATGGGGGTGGTCTAAGACTTCAGTTTCTACTTTATTAAATAAAATTGGTCATTTACAAAGGCCAGTAAAGAATTTCTGTACCACAGGTGTGCTACTTGTAGAGTTCAGAATTGTAATTTCCCTATATGTTGCTTAGCTCCGTTTTCTTCGCATCCATTGCACATCTGACCTAAACTGTCCTTAAGTGCCTATTTGTAATTACATGGTTTTCTGTGCAATGACTGGAGGATTGCAATAGGAGAGGGAGAGGAATTAGCCAGTAAAATTAAATAACAGTTTATACTTGCACGTCACTTCCCTCATCAGTATCAATTACATCAGCAAAACAAAACCGAAGATATCCAGTATTTGAAAAAAGATATTTAACCTTCTGCCAAATATACTGAAATGAAAATGTTCTGTACTATCACACTAGAAAAACATTTCCACATGATGAACATCTCTAGCAGTAAGATGAAGCGTATCCGTAAATCAGTTCTTTTGGACTGAGCTGCAGTGACTACGTTCCTGCCAACAATTTTTTCAAATTAATATAGCTTTCCCAGTTACTTAAAGCAATCCAAAAGTATTAATTCTTTCTCTAAAATTAAATACATGAAAGGATTTACCTTTAAACAAATAACTTTGCAGTCCAAAAGGCTGGTTAGTTACGAGGACAGGTAAGTCTTTAGCAGAAGGCAGCCACAACCTTGAAATTTGGCAAGAAGAGTCAATACCTACCTTACTTAGCACAAAACCAAACCAAACCAAAAAAAAAAAAAACAAAAACAAAAAACCCAACCCCCAAAACAAAACAAAAAAAAAACCCACAAACCCCAAACCCTCTGAAGGCTGCAATGCACATAGTCTATTTCTCCAACATAGTCAGTATGCTGAACTTACACATACCATACAGTAGTATTGTACTTTAAAGTTAAGTGTCAAATTTCTCTCAAATTTTGCATTGCAAAACTTTCATTAAGCTGAATGAATACACTTAAAGAAAGCATACAAAAATGTCTTACAATGCCCAATCATTAACAGAATATGTGTGAATTTAAAAACATCACGTTACTTCACTAACAAAACAACTCAACTTCTCTTCTCCTCTAACTTACCTTCCAAGACCTGAACTGGTTCGAAGTTCTGCATGCCTCTCCCACGTGCAGACAGAATTGCTTAGGGAGGAAGCTTCCCCTTCCCACTGCTCGGTGTTAGGGACATCACAGAACCCCCAAAGCAGGTCATGGGAGATGGAACATCTCACCTTCTAAGGGCATGCCAGCACATGTATTTTGTTACCGATTTAGGATCACAATGGCCTTGGCTACACAACTAAGTAACTGGACAGGATTGGACAACATTAGCGGTCAAGACACCCTTGTCCCGTCCACACCAGCACTTCCATGATTGCTGTCGCCCACTCAGCTGCCTCGGTATGGACTTGAAATGTCTTTTTTCCCTAGTGTCAATGCACATCTTACCTTTAGCTTCTTTTAAGAGATCCTCCCTGTTCACATCCAAGTGAGATTTCTGCTGGAAGTGGCTAGCACACACAAGCACATGTACACACATCCTTCTAAGATGTAAACTATGACTAATTTCACATTCCACTGTATCGATCTGTAAATACTTTGTTTTCTTTTTTCTTCTTTTATATAAAAACAATGGCATCATATTCTCAGCAGTAAAGTATAAGAAAGATGAATCCTTGACTACACTTAACCAATTATGAAATCGCCTTTCAAACAAAGGAAACATATGCAAAAAATCCGTGTATTTGATAAAGTCAACTTAATATAACAAAAAGTGAAATATGCTTATTAAAAGTGTCCTTATATAAAAATGGTCTTGCAATGTACAGTAAAATGCAATACAAATTATTGTTGGTTATCTCTCCCCACCCAGTAACTAAAACAGCTATTGTTCCACAAAACTCCTTATATGCCGGCATCAAAGAAAGAAGCAATTATGCGACTAAACATTTTCTATGTTGTATGCCTGACGGATATTAAGGGTGTCTCGTAGCATCAAGTCTCGCAGACGCCATAATGCATCGGCCATTGTGGTATGAGCCCCTTTACTTTTCAACCAGTGTGAAGGGAGTCGGCTCTCTTGTTCTTTTGATAAGTGGACATCTCGTCTTCGTGCTGAAAGGTCAAGAAATGGTCCAATTATCTACTGGCTTTGATATTCACCACAATTTCTCTAGAAAAAGGCGAATATAATTCTACAGTGTAACTTTTACCCCTAGTATTTAAGCCCATACAATTGATTCTTGAATTTATACAAAATCGATGGAATTAGCCTGCTGATAACACATACATTCCCAGTCTGTTGATTTGTTTTTAACAATTACTTGCATGTGTACATTTTATTAAGTAAGCAGCAGATTTATGTAGCATTTTCCATAAAAGCAAAAAATATTAATGGTTACGAAGAAGCGTGTTCTGTCTGGAAACATCCCACTCTGTAGCAAAAGCCTTACCTGCGAGGGTCTGATCCCACTTGCTAATACTATTTGATTCAGCACTAAGCCCCTCAATATATTTCAGATAGGCTTCAGAATGAAGAAGCCTCTGTGTCTTTGGTGGAGGGGAGACGAACATGGGAGTTGTGGGCTGCTGCATAACCGGCTGACTTGCTGGGCTCTGGCCGGGATACGGAGGGGGTGCCTGCTGTCCCGGCGGGCCAAGGATTCCTATCTGCAACAACAAAGCGATGGAAAGATGACATTTGGGGGAACTGCAGGGAAACTGCTTCACATCTGTGCATCAGATCATCCTCATACAATGGAGCTTCAAAACAGGTTATGAGCAAAGGCATACGAAAATCTCCCTGGAAGACACCCAATTCAGCCAGGGTTATCTGTAGGGGTCACCGAGACGCACAGAGAGAGGAAGTGCTAACAAACCATATTGGTATTTAACAGACAACGTCGTTCATCTTTCTAATCTATGTAAACATACTCTGATTACTATCACCATTTCTCCTCTCTCCTATTAACCTTAATTATTCCTTTTGCCTCCTTTTTATTTCATGCTTTCTCTAAATTAGAGATCAGAAACCGTCTGAAGTGCAGGGTTTATCTCTAAAACATCTAATCCAAACTGACCCTGATCCTTGGACAACTGGGATACTTCCACAGAATAAATGCTAATTGCTGTCAGGCAAAAATGACAGTCACACAAATAAATCACAGTCACACAGAAGAATTCCCACCATTGTGATTAAGCAGCAGTACTGAGAACTCTTAGCACAGATATCCTGTGGTCTGGAATAACTCAATGTCATGACATATACACTTCACTACTTTCTCACTCAACTTCTGGTTTTCTTTACACCCTCTAGCCAAAATCACATTTCTCTTTATGATGCAAAAATTTAGTCAATAAAATTGGAAACGTGCTGAACACTTCATCTGTATTAATCACTGAGAAGGAACATCTGATCATCACTGTTATCCAAACTCACAAATTCTGAGCTGCTGATGAACATCTGCTTCGTCAGTTTGTGAAATACGGGAGCAAACAAAACAGGTTTTACCCCCTTATCAGCAGCTGAGAAAGCGGGCAGCATCCTCTCTGCGTCACCAAAGCATGCAAAACATAAATTATCAGCAGTTTAATTATAGCCAATTATAGCGTGTTGAAACGACTCATCTTAGTTTAGTAGAAGGAAAACAAAACAAAACACTGTCTTTCTTATACTGCAGAAGTTATTCCACTGGACAGAACCTAATTAGTCTAATAACAATCCAACCAACAAATACAGACATAACTCTGAGTGTAAGATATTAACTGATTCTAAATACATTGGTGTAAATTTGGTTTATGTTCTCCCTGGCAAAGGCTATGTGCATCCCTACATGTCTTAACTGAGATGATGTTCAAATGCTAATTCAGAGCCTTAGAGCCTCACAAATAATGCAAAAACGACTCACCTGCTGTCCAAAAGGACTTGCTCCGGGTGCTGGAGTGCCTACCATGGGGGACACATTTTGGCCTATAACACCTATATTCCAAAATATAAAATAATTAGTCTTATTTCAGAGCAGTGACAAATACCTCTTTGGTCTTCTTATAGTAAAAATTTATACTTTGATATCATTATCATTGATAATGATATACTTTGATATCATTATCACAGTTATTTTAAGCAGATGTACAATATTCAAATATCCCCCTCTCCCCCAATAAAAAACCACTTTAGAAGTTTCTGAATGAAAAAAAAAAAGCCAACATGACAACTACCAAACATTGATATGTGGCCTGTTGAATTCATTTAATTAAAGAAATGCAAAGTGAATAATTTTTGGTTTTCTGTTTGTTTTTTTTTTTTAACACATTACTTAGTCATTGCCTGACTAAATCTTTTTGTTTACAATATACACCTTTGGCTTGACAGGATCTTCCTGGAATCCTTTAAGAAAGGAAATGCTGATTTTCTTTAGCAACATTTAACATTTCCTTCTGTTCAGTTTTATAAAATACATTCACAGCAGGAGGAAATCCAAGCCATTACAGAAATTCTGATAGATCTCACTAATATAAAACGCAACTTGCAGGTTAAGCTTAGTCTTATATATGAGACCGATGAACTTTTCAAACAAATTTCAAAAAAATAAAAACTGTTAGTTTTTCCTCAAACATATTGAGGCTTTTCCCTATTGCACAGCATGCAGCAGATAACACCTATGTCAGTCTTACACACAAAAATTTACAAATTTAAATGAGAATCATGCAGTTCCTATATTTTACGTACAGATGCTTTGGTCTGAAAAAATGAAAGTTATGCCTGCTGCTGCTTTTCTTTCTGTTTATGCCACTTCTAACATTCATTCATTGGAAAAGCTGCAAACTAACTATGCTCTTCCTGAGGGTTTAATTTGCATGCAGATTTCTGTATCAGTGATCAAAAGATGTGCCACTGCATTTTGCACACTAAAGCATATTTCAAATGCATTTTCCATTTGATGACAGCCCCCATTTTAAATGCATCTGTACTAACAGCAAGTCAGGAGTTGGGAAAAACATTGATAATACAAGTTGTGGAATATGGCATGGATTTTTTTTTTTTTTTTGTACAAAGCGAAGAGGTCTGGAGGAGAGCACCCTCGCCTTTCCAGCCCCAGAGCATGGCTTCATCCTTAGCACATCCAGCCCGATTTAGCGCCACTTCAGGTGCGGTCCTCCATTCCCAGGCATTATTTTTTCCCTAATCCATATCCTCTCGGTTTTAAACACCATACACACAGCCCACTTCTCCGGTGGGAAAAACTCTTCACAGAAATGCATTGTCCTGGATTCACCTCCCAAACATTTGTATGTTGCTGATGCATGCTAAATGTCACTGCCTTTGTGAGTCGGAGACAGGCTCACAGACACACAGCTGTTTTCCTACTCCCTCTACGTGACATTACAGTGAATCTTACACACCAGCAAAGCTGCAAGCTGGACACCTAGTACTGATGGATTTAAAAAAAAAAAACAAGCAAACAAACAAAAAGAACCACCCCAACCCAAAACAATTCACTTTCAGATAAAAGTCTTAACAGAGCTTTGATAAACACAGTTGCAAGTGGGGTAGAGGATGGCAAACGAGACCACTTTTGTCCACAGCTTGTTTAATTGCTGAACATATGGGATACGCATCTTTTAAAAAGGCACATGAGCTAGCAGAGGTAAAAACTGAAAGAATCAGCAGAAAACAGGATCAGAGGGCAGATGAACATTTCTCCCCGTAATGGGGACATGTTAATGGCATTAATGCTAGAAAAATGTTTATGTTTCATTCAGACTCACTTTTCATCAAAAGTGTGGCAAAAAAATAGCAAATACGTAGTAGATATGCTCTCAAAAACCATTTCAAAATTTGGCCACAATAGTATACTGAGTTCACCTTATCCCCAAATGTTTCCAGTTACTGTTCTATCAACAAGGTTTAATCTGAACACTGTCTTATTATCGCACGTGTCAGTGCCCAAATGGCTAAGGGGACTTACATGACCAGGTTCGTTTAAGTGCAGTCTGACTACTGATAAACGTTAACATACTGAAAAAGAGTTCAGTAACGAATGAGAGCAATAAATTTCATTTATAAGCCCACTTTAAGTAAGAAAAGGAGGAGCGGAAAGATGCTGTTGAAATGACATAAGGATATGACGAGGCTGATTTCAGCTTTTCAGACCTCTGATAAACTCAAGCAGAATTGTCAGGTTTTTTGGCTGGAGCAGAACTACTGCTGGAGCAGCATCACGTTTCTCCAGTAACCTTTCCCTGCTGGTTTACTGGACATGCTGTTGTGTCAACGTTTTGCATCTACCTCATATATTCAGCAGTGCATTGTGTGCGCTGCAGCTAAACAAACCTGCAACGTTCAGAAACAAAAGCTATGACCAAAACAAGCTGCAGATAATTTCTGTAACAACTGGTTAAACGGCAAGTACATGAAAATGAAATAAGGAGCGAATGAGGATGACATTCTTACCGGGTGGTGGGATGCCTGGGATGCCTGGCATACCTGGCGGAAGTTGGTGGGGTGGGGGCACCCCTGGGTGAAGTGGCTGCATGCTGCCCATGCTAACAATGCCATCAACTGGGCCCTGCAAAGGTGGCAGCACCGGTGGATAGCCACTTATCATGCCTTGAAGGACACAACAAATTTCAAACATGCATCAATAACATGCAATATGATCTACACAGTAAGACATGCACTATCCACAGGAAAAAAAAAAAAAAAAAAGAAAAAAAAAGAAAGCACCTTTAGTACAGCAACACGATACTACAATTAGTATCTTGCAAAAACGAATAAAAATTAAAAATAAAAAAGTTATAAATATGAAACACTATACTTTTGATGAATTAGTATTTAGTGTATTTGTATGTTTCTCATGGGGCAATAAATGCTGAATATTCACATATGTTAACACAAGGAATAAATTCAGCCACAATTAAATGTTACTAACGCAAGCAATTTTAATACAGCTTAAAGCTCTGCCATCTGCATACAGATTACGAACACAACACTAACTACACAAGCTCCACATACAGCCCTGCTTTGTGGGCTACCTCGGAGACCAAACTCAACTGGAACAAAAATAAAAACCTATATATTTTTCTGCAGTGCATATGCAAAATTAACACACAAAAGCCCTACTACATTTGCATACTTAAAACTAACAGCAGTGACAGGGGTGGTTTTTATTAAACCGTCTCCAGTATAAACTATGGAAGTAACTCAGATTTTTAAACCTGAGAGCACTGGATGTGCTGGGCTGCAGTGACTTACACTCATGGCACTAGACCGAAGTAAAAGGACTTGCAAGGAGCACCTGCAGTCCCTCACAGAATTTCACTGACAATGTTTTCAAGGTGTCTTTACAGGAAAATCAATGTTACGGCGAAGACGGTATTGTGCTGTTGCTCATAACTTTAGTTTTCTGCACATGAGGGAAGAAAATTCAGAGCTCTCTGTGGTTTCGGCCATGAGGTGAACCTACACAAATTAACTGCACTGTGTTTATTAGGTCCTGGAACCTAACTTGCTTGTCCCTTGCCTGTTTTCTAAGCTTTGTAATTTAAATGGATGCGTTGTCAGGTAACCAAGAAAAGGTGTTGGAAAGACAATGAAAAGATGACAGAGGACAGAAGCAGGTCTAGAGAGATGAGGTAAGTTTGGAAATGCAAAATTGCTGAGGTTTCTATAGCCTGTTCCAAGAAACCACCTACTGAGTCTTTGCCACACTCCCAGTAACTCATAAAAGAAACTTTCAGAACAGGGATTTCTGGAATAAGACTGGCCAAAAACTCACACCAGCTCTGACTGAAAACAAAGCTGTCATGAGCTCAGGATCGAAACAGATCAAGCAGCTCCAAAATACAAGCTAAATTTGTCACTTCCTCAGGAAGAGTTACAAAGGTGAGAAACCTGAAATTCCAAAAGCTTTACATGGAGCAAACAATGAGAAAATAAAGAACTGATCTTCCTCAAGCCTTCATTTTCCACAGGACACCTAGATTAACACTTACTAAATAGGTCTTAGGTACCTATTTCAAATATCTGGAAGCTCATCTGTACCTCTTTATTAACATAGTGAAATCCGTATTTTTAATGGAAAAAGTAAAAGAAGAAAAACAACAAAAGCAGCCTAGAATAAAGGGCTTTCACTGTAGCTACCGCCTGGTACTTCTAGTGCACCCCAAGCTGCAATCACATCTTCAATGCATTTACATACATTTCTGAAGCTTTAAAACAAACAAAACAAAATAAACCAAAAACCTCCAATGAAACAAACCCGTATTTATCAACCATGAAAGCTCATATCTACATTTCCAAATAAAATACTCACTCAACAACTGGCTGGATTAATAAAGTTGTCGTCAAATCTCCATGAGAAATCAGTTCTTGTAGCTCATCACAAGGTTATAAGAGCAGCCACTTTCATACCCCATGTATGAGTTACCACTTCCATTTTAAACTAGTAAACATGGGCAAACTATTTCCAGCTGCCACAGCTGTGATTTATGATGCCTTTCAAATTACTTGTTCTCCCATTTTTCACTATAACAATGTAAGATTAAATAAACTTTTGTAATGCCTAGATTTACAAGAAACTAGAGCACTGCGCTCTAAGACAAATGCGTCTCAGAAGGTATCCAGATTTCTGGGACCCGTGGGCCATAAAGTTCTCTGAACCGCGATGGAGAAGTTCTCTGAACTAGAGAGAAGCAATCAAATGATGGAGGAGGATGTGAAAGAGGTCTCAACAGAACAAGATACTTCTAAGTAAGACTTGTGGAAACTAAAAGATGAAAGATTGTGTTTTTCAAATGGGCCACAAAAATAGAAAGAGTTTAAAAAGATCCACTTGATCATCCACTTCAAGGAAGTATTTCACAATGCCAAAAGTAAAGAGGCTTGAATGTCTAACCGCTTGAATAAGATGATGGTCTTAAATACAGGTTTGCTTTTGAGCAGGCTGCCGCAGGAAGTAAGTTAGCATGTGTAGTTTGCAGAATGCACATTTTTGGAAAAGTTTTAAGAAAGTGTTAGTACTAAGTATTACTGCCCATCAATACCTACCTCCAAAAAATTGGAAAAGTGACTCAATGCCAAACAACCAAGAACGAAACCAAGAAAACACAACCACAAGAGGATGACGTTTCTACATATTCTAGATGGAAGTAGGTTACTCACAAAAAAGATCAGCACTGGAGAACTCCCTTTCTTTAACCCTTAATATATGCACAGATACGTGTACACACAAACATACACCAACTGCAAACAGTTCAGAAGAAAATTACTAGGAACAAAGTGAAAAAAACAAAATAAAAATGCAACTCAGTGTAAACAAATGCTTTGTAATCCAGAGACCATGAACCAAATAGGGAATGTGCCTTCAGTTTAAACATCCATGCAGCCTATTTACTGAAAAGGGATTTAGAGACTGTGATGAAAAACGCTTCAGGCTGTCAGCTCTAAATATGGCCACAGCCTGTGAGACAGGAAAGAAAAAGAAAAATGACAAAAGAATAAATGGAATAATTGGAATGCCTTAAGGGAAAGTTAAAAAAAAAAAAAAAAAAAACTCAAGCCAAAAAACCTCCAAATGCTCATTTTTACCTACTTGGCACTATTTTGACCTTGACTGAAGTAATCTAATTATTTTAATTAAAAATGGGGGAAGGAAAACAGCCTATCAGGTCATACCTAATTCATTTTCTCACCGATGTATGGCTGATTCCCATACAAGAATCTCCAGTGGACTACATTGCCTTCAGATCTGATCCTGAAAATACTTACTCCGAGCATACTCCCTATGAACTCAAGTCGGATTACGACTGGTAATGAGCACAACACCCAGCAACAGGGACCTCGTGGAAGAGTTCTCCAAGCTCAGTTCTAATCTGCAAATCACCTGATAAAACCGGCAGTGTTGGCATTTCGTATTTGTTCCTGCAATGGCTCTAGATCCTAGTCTGCTCTGCTTACCAGTGTCTAATCAGCAATTCTGTAAAGCTTTTGCTTGGATTTAAAATCTGGTTTGGATTCTGTTTGCCTCTCACCTTCCTGACAATTAAAAAAAAAAAACAAACCTGCCTCCTACTTTACCACTTCCACTGACGCTGCATGCACTAGAAGAGTATTTAGCTCACTCCCCCCCTGCCATTAGCAGGGCTAACATGAACTCTGCAAAGTAGAGTGAACAAACACGATTGCACACAAACAGAACAGGACTACCGCACAAGGAGGACCCTTTTTCCCCTGCGTTTTCAACAGGCTACTCACTACTGGAGCAAGTAATGTGGGACTATCAGGCTACTGCTGCGGTTACGTATACTCATTATGAAGAAAGACTGAAGAGGTTGAGCTTTTTCTTCCGTAAGAACAAAGTGACCCAAGAGAGTGTTCAGAGTTATGAAGGGGGTTGATATAGTGGATGAGGAAAAAATGGTCATAGCTCCTACGTTTTACCTGCAACGGGTGTCAACTGCTGATTGAGCATTCCCATTGGTGTTGGTGGCGGCACCACCCCCATAAGAGCCCCGACAGGAGTGCCTGCCCGGGGGGAGGAATTCTGCTGCTGTGCTGCTCGCTCTCTCTCCTGCTGCTCAGCAACTTTAGCTGCCCGCTCTGTAAAAGTATTTTAGATTTTCAGTTCTGTTTTGTCACCCAGAATTTCAAAATATTATCTGTTCATTAAAAAGGACTAGTCAAACACTGGCATAGTTTAGTCAAATATAAAGTAGAACAGATGAATCTTTTTAAACAGCATATGATTTGATTTCATGTGGCTGCACCTAAGACTTTTAGAGAACCTTTCATGAAAAATATTCCACAAAGTTTTATCTCTTTCTAAAAAAAAAAATAAAAATAAATAATAAAATAAAAATTTAAAAAGTCAAAGAACAAATTTGATAATAACACCAGTGTTACCAACATGAAGCAGCAGTCCAGCACTAGGCTCAGTCCGCACTAGGAAAACATGGCAAAACATTCCCTCTTTTGACACCACTGGCTCAGCTAAACCAGTTGCAGTGAAGGCAGGCAGCTCTCATGTAGATCCGCTACCAGCTGCTGTGGGAATTTTAAGCACCGTCTCTACCAGACGTGCCCTAGAGTAAGATGCAAATAGCAGATAGCAGTGCCAGCCAGTGGCCCATTTATTCTTGGGCTCCCCATATACTTTACTACTGATGCAGCTGAAAAGCGGTGGCAAAGTCGGGAAGCATTTGCAAAGTTGCCCTAGTGTAGATAGGTCCTTAGTGTTTGGAACATAACAAGCAGCAGTTTGATGAACGAAAAATATTTTTCTCTGCCTCTTTCTGTCATTTTCCCCATTTGGTCCCCTTTGAACTATTTTTTTTTTTTTCTGAAGATGTCTAACTCACATTGTGCTGCTCACTGGAGGTCATGTGTGTCCTTTGTACGATGAATCTGGTCATTATCTCAATCAAGTTTCCCACTGTGACTGCAAGAACAAAAGATCTACTGCAGGGGAATCTGACCAGAGGGCAATTTTATATTAAGGGAAGGGCGAAGGGTCATTGGAAGAAGAAAGAAAAAAACCAAAACCCAAGCAAACAAAAAAAGGAGATACACTGAATGCCCACTCAAGGTGCTTTGGGGGCATGCAAGTTGCTGATTTGTTTACTCTGAACGTCGTATCTGACTGACGCAATGAGGAACAACAAAGAATAAATGAATGCAGCATACATCTCCAGCAAATTTTAATAACAGTGAATGCAGGGCTAGAAGTTCTCTTGCAGTTGGTGAAAGATGAAAACTGCCACTAAAACAGCAATCAAGGTCCTCTGTCAAACAAAGGCTAAGAAGAAGTACATCAAGGAGTTTAAGTTATGCATCCTGCCAATGTTACTCATTTTCTCTAGTATATGACTTCAAACGTCTATCACGCGTTTGTCTCCTGTAGAACCTGTTTCTGCAGCTTCTAGCACTACTTCCATACACTGAAAGACCAGTTTCATTTCCAAAGGCATCTCCTTCTTTCTTTTCACTTCTGTCATTTCAGGAAGCGATGATGACGCACAGAAACCCCTACATTTACTACAGGCAACTCATACGTCATTGAGTACAAAATACACAAGACATTTAAAGGTAGATCCTGAAGTAGAAAAATGAGATAATCCTCTTCAGAGCAGAGCAAGCATTTGGGGAAAAGATGAAGCAGCTGTTCTGACTCTCACCTACTTTTGGCCAGCTAAAAAAAACCAATGGTCAGACAAAAGCAAAAGTTCTCAAGACACTCTGATGAATGAGAAATTACTGTTAAGCATTCAGCTTTATCAGATTTTGGAGTGCTGAGCTTTGAAGAAGGATCTGATGTAGGACAGTACTTGAGTTTTACCTAGTCTCTATCCATGCCGTGACTGCCACGGAACTAACAGATGAAACAACACTGCCAAAGGGAACTGCAGCAGGTGTTTAAGAGTTCAGCCTTGAGCATTCACCTTAATACTCGATACTAAATCTAAATCGTTTAGGCCAGGACTTGAGATCATTCAAGCAACATTTCCAACACATCTCAAGAGACAGGAAAGAGACCTTCTGCTTTGAACAGAGCTTTTCCTTATAACAGGCCTTTACCTCAATCCCATGCATTATTTTATTTTATTTTGAGGAGTTTTCACAGTGCAGTTAGCCATGCAGGCATTTCCAATGCAGCCTGTTCTTTGCTCAACTATTGCTAAAAATACCAACTATTACCCTGCACATATACCAAATGAAATTTTCAGTGGGTCAAAACAGATCTAAAATGCAAACGACTTTTCACCAGAACACGGAAAGGCACTTTTTCACTGAGGTGTCAAACCATGCCTGTTCCCTGCTCCCTGGTGCATGTCCACGCTAGAGAGCACATGAATTTTGACTCGTCACAGTGGAAGGAGAGGAGTTTCTCTCCTTTCACGCATGGTAAGCAAACACAGTTTGGACGCTTTGTAACCCCATCCCAACCCCTCAAAACCAAATAAAAGTTAAGTCTAGTTCTGGGCAGACACCAAGCCAGAGAAACTGCAGCCCAAAACACAAAAGCTTAGGAAAATTTTAAGCGAGAAAGAGGATTAAAATGGAAGCACTTAGGCAATCATTAACACAGTGGACAGACACTGTTGCTACCAGCACGTTACAGCTATGCCTTCCTGCAGAAGTACAAGACGTCAAGCTGCTCTAAGCTAGGAAGCGATGGCATGCTAGCTGTCCTACTGTTAAGAATTAGGCTGTAAGGAGGGACCTGTCAATAAAAAGATAACATGTGCACCTAGAAGGGTGTAAAAGGAAACTACAACAGGAAAAAAGTAAGGCCATAGTACTTTCACAAAGAAAGAGCATTACCATTTCCCTCACAGCATTTGCAAAGAAAACTTGCACATAGCCGAGTGGTGCTATATTACTCTCCAGAATTGCAAAGAGGTACTACTGCAAATTTGGAAAGGACTGAGACAGCTGAGGGTAGAAAGTGATAGCATGCAAACTTCTAGTTTGAAGATCAAAGCTGCCTTTAAGTTATGAGTATGCAGAAAACCTATCAAATCTCATTTTTAAAAAAGCAAAGTTATAACTTAATTGGGCAATAACTTTCTAGGGTGTGAAGCTTTCCTACCCAAAATAGCATTTTCTTCAAAAAAAATTGCAACAGTTGCTTAAAAAAATGGGTTTTCTATTGGAAGTGTTGACACATTATGAACTAGAGTAGTGACTATGGATGTTAAGCCAATGTATTTGGCTTGGGTAAGGGCCTGCTGTTAAGGATCAATTGTATTTTATTTTAATCAAATAAAGTTGAAACACAATGACTAATATCAGTAGGGAAGAAAGGAAGAAAGGAAGAAAGGAAGAAAGGAAGAAAGGAAGAAAGGAAGAAAGGAAGAAAGGAAGAAAGGAAGAAAGGAAGAAAGGAAGAAAGGAAGAAAGGAAGTCAATTGTATTTTATTTTAATCAAATAAAGTTGAAACACAATGACTAATATCAGTAGGGAAGAAAGGAAGAAAGGAAGAAAGGAAGAAAGGAAGAAAGGAAGTTCTAAAGTATCTCATACCTATGAAATATTCCTAGACTTACTTCAGGATATGAAATCTCTCAACAAAATCAGTTACAACAGTTGATTAATACTGAGACTGAACAACAGGTCATATTTACAGTATCATAACAGATTCTGTATCCTTGCTTTTATTCTACCAAAGCTTTTTAGGACTCCAAGTACTGTCAATCAAAGAACGTTTTTCCGCTCCACTGTAAGCCTTCTTACCTGCCGCTACAGCTCTGAAGAGCTTCTTGTCCAAAATTCCCCCCAGTCCTCCTTTAAGGAAACTTTCACAAACCATTTTTCCAACTGACTTCCAGCCCAGGGGCTTCATGCCCCTTTACTTCTAATTTGTCCCCATTTTCTTGGTCTTTGTTCATTTGCTTATTTGTGGCAAAGACATTTAAATTATCAGTTGTGCACTACATAACTTAAACATGCTCTTTGCTCCTCTTCAGTCATCTCTCAATATGAACTTCTCTTTAAGGTACGTCCAGAATAAAAACATAAATATCTTCTTTTATTAAACCTGTCATCTGAACAACAGTAATGAATGCGTTGAGAAAGAAAAAAAAGCAGAAAAAAGCTTAGCATCTTAGTTTTTATTTACCTTCATATTCTGCTTTCTTTGTTGCTTCCAAGTTTCTCCATTCAGTTCCTACAAGCCTGCTGAGCTCTCCAAAGGAGTAGTCTGGGTGCTGAGCTTTAATCACAGCCCTCATCTCGCTGCTAAATAAGATGTACCCGCTCATGTTGATCTTCCTCTTTGATCCCTCCTTCTTGGTGCTGCCCTTAACAGACTTGGGAGTGGACTGTGAGAAAAGGCAGTTATGACCACAAGTGTACAAAAGAGAAGCTTCTCGACAGACAAAATTCAAAGCTGTAAGAAACAGTATTTTACAATATTCCTGCATTTCTCTTGAACATACTTGCACAAGGACCATCCAACCTTACAGCCCCTGAAGAGAGACTGCATCTACTGATGCATGACAAGAGCATACGCACACGCTTATGAAAAGTACACAGGAAAAAAAAAAAATAAATAATCACGACGTTCTGATGCTTTTCAACCCTTCCAGACATAATACCACCTTTATAACTGAGGCTTCAAAAAATTCTCAGTAAGACAACACAGAATGCTTCCTATTAGCTAAAACCATTCCAAACTGAATGAGAGGACTAAGAAAGGCTGAGTAGCACATAAGTGACTATTTGGAAGGGCAGAAGAGAATAAAAGTAATTGTATTATGTGTCCTGGTTTTCATCCATTATGCTGTTCAGAAATATTGCCAAGAAAAGTTGAGTAAAACATTCTATTTGGCATTGCACATTTCAGGGAAATGCTTCCCCATTTCCTCCTGGGCCTTTGCAACCCCTACCCTCCCTGGCTCCATCTTCCACTTTTCTCATGCCTAAATGCTCTCTATTTTGCCTGTCAGACTCTCCTTTCTCTCTAGTGTTCACCTCCCATTACATAAGTAGCCATTTCTCCCTGAAAAACCCAAAGCCCAGTTTTGCTGATTCACTCTTTACCTACACAACAGGTTCACATCACATTCTATATGTTGATGGGTAACAAAAATTCTGCTCCTTTGCTTTTCCCACCACGGATGCTCCTGTTGAGAGCTGCTTGATGTTTCCAGCCATCAAAAAATTCAACCTGTTCTGACAACCACTGAGATACCACAGCTGGAACCCCCTTTTTGAAGGCTCCTTCCACCTATATTTGTTACAGGAGACCATAATTCACCCATACTCTGATCAATAAGGCCCACAAATGTATCATCATACCAAAACCCTCAAAAGGCCCTTCTCATATCCCGAACATTACAAATTTCTCACATCTTGAAAAGTGTAATTGTTTCCAAATACCTAGCGTGGAAAAAAAGGAAAGAAAAATATATGCAACTGTTTTCTTCCTATCCTGAAATTCTGGCCACGTTACTAACTCCTTCTACTTGCCACTTTGAGCCCCCCAGTTCAACACTCTTCTCTCAGCTAAAAACAAAGCTTCAGAGATACCAAGATGCTTAAAAAGTCTTGCTCATCAATTTAAGCCAGGCACTGGATAAACTGGGGCATACTTGTATGTTATTCCAAATGTCACTGTATTAATTTTCAAACGGCAATCCACCCACAATTTCGTTCTTGTATTCTCCATCCTTTTACATCTCCAGTACAACCGTTTTTAAATGAATGGAATCCTCTCCATTTGAGTCAGATAACTGCATATTCAGTTTTAGATGTGTTAAGAGAATAAATAAACCAGGGTGCCCTTTTATGCCTTTTCTCAGATATATTGCTAAAGCAAAAAATGAAGTTGCACATCTTTTTATTTTTTAGGTTCAACTTGATTCACAGCAAACTGCAGCAGGAAAGCATCATCCACCTATTTGTCAAGCCCCACAATACCATGTATTCACTTGTCTTGACTCCTTTTATCCTGAGGTGTAGTAAGAGCTTCTTTGTTATCAGAAGAAAACAAGTTTAAAAGTTCTGGGGTTTAATAGTTGTTAAATAAAATTCCATACGTTTAAGACAACATGAAGCAAACACATGCCTTTTATCTAGGAGCTCTGTTTAAAAAGACACTTTTCACTAGGGACATAAATAGAACAGATTATCTGAAGAAGAAATCTTATTTCTGTGCTATATGTTAGTTATCTGTCCACCAGAGTTAAATTGTGCTCTGAATGCCAGCTCAGACACAACATGCCTTTTCTTTCCAAATCAGCAGTGTGAGGAATCTGCCGGGGCACTTGTGTATCATCATTCACTTCTTAGCATGCATTGCTATTGATCCTTTTCAGTTTTCCTTATTTGTTTGCATCTTTTTGTGGGGTGGTTTTTTTTTCCCCCAAGTTCTAGACTTCAGAGTTCACATCTGTCTAAAGGCATATACACACATGTTGCATATATCCATTGAGCCTGACTTCTCACCAGTTATCCTGAAAGCTCTGCAAGACTGTCCCATTACAAACAATTAAGAAAAATAATAATAATGCAACTATCAACCTGGCTTTTTAAAGACATATTATATATTAGTATTTAAATAAAACTTCAAGGGAATCTGAGGATAACACACCTATGTAGAAAGAGAGAAAGCAAAGGAGATCAAAAGACAGTGAATCTTGCAGAAGGCAGTTTGAGGACATCTTTAATGTCCGATGATCCCTATTTAAACTGCTTTCGGCAGCTGCCATGCGTAACAACGGTAATATTTTGATTTATAAAAAGTTACCTTCCCCTTCCTAAAGTGTTACATTAGTTGGTTAATGCTGGTAACACGCTTTCTATTTGTAATACTCTGCAAGAGTTTTCATGCTACTTACGAAATTCAGCACGTTAAAACAAGAGCAGCAAGACAACCTTGCACAGGAAAATGCATTTGGTGGTCTGCCCACATGGCAAAAATCACAATCAAACCAAGCTAAAGCTTTCAATTTCATCAACTCTTTTTCGGGACATCAAAAGACAGTTATTTCTATCCAGGGGTCACATCCTTTCCTCAACAACCAATGAGGTTGTCACTTCACACTCAATGTAATGCAGCAGAAATCCATATTGCTGGTTACAAAAGTGTCTGAAACTCCCTCCTGTTCCCAGCTGGTCATTCCCAGTGCCTCTTTAATGCTGGCATTAGCTTGGATGTGGCAATGCGATGAGAAAGATAAAGGGCTTCATCCAGTTGCAAACAAACTTTTTTAGTTAGGTTAATTTCCAGTTAAAGCAGTTCCTCACCCTGCTTCAATACTCAGTTACATAAATACCAGGGCTTGTGTAAGAAACACAGCAAGAGAGGGAAGGGGATCAAAAGCGCCCCATTTAAGCAGCAGCAATGATTCATGCCGCATTCAAGCGGCATATAACCACACATGATTCCTCCTTTACTTCCTACCCATTTATCAGCAAATTAATACTAAAGCTTCTAGGACATCCAGTTCTTCTAACTTTTTTAACAGTTTCTTATTTCCAAGTAAGAATGGTAGCTTAATACTAAAAAAGTTATTTTTTTTCTTTGAGGACGGCACACAGCATTTTCTAAAAATGTAGCAAAGCCGTAACACCCAAAATGCTAGCTTTTTTCAAAATTTAAGGAAAAGCTTAAAAATGTGCGTTAGGTAAATTGAGAATTACAGTTAAAATCTTACATCCCAACTCTTTATTTAATATAAGGACCTGATATTTATGAGTAAGTAAGTGCCGTAGAAAAACCTACTAATTAGAAATAACGTTAACATATCATACAAAAATGTACCCTAGATTTTCCTCAACTGAATGATTTCCTTTAAAAGTATTTTAATGGACTTAACTGTTATCACCTGGATATCATATTGGATATGCCAAAACTGTTCGGTGCAATTTGTTCCATAGACTTGTAAACTGAAGTATAAATCTCTTCTGTGCATATGATAAAATGTTACTGTTTGTTTATTTGGGTTGGGCAAAGAATGCGGAATATAAAGGTTTAAAGGTTTCTCAAGGAAGATCCTTACCTGTGGTGGAGTATAAGGCATTATATCCAATTCACTAGCGAGTGGGGTCTGAAGCTGAGGCATAGAAGGTGTTTCAGTCATATCACCTTCCTCTTCTCCCATCTCTTCCATGTCCTCGTCGCCTCCTTCCAACTCAGCAAATTTTGCTTCTAGCTGCTGAATCTTCTTTTCCAGTAGCGGAGATGGTTCCTTCTGAGGAACTATGGGTTTTCTGAAAGGTGGAGAAGGAAGACAAAAAGCAGATGAGAATACACTCATACTTTACAGGACATAGCATATACTTTTGAAGAGAAAACCAACTTTCCGTCCTTTATCATTGAACAACATGGAAACAATGGTGACTCAGGATGGGCCTGTGCTTCCTTTCAGAACACCAAGCAGAAATCATTCAGTGCCTATGGACAGTGTTTCATTTCAGTCACTTGTTTGAAGGATTTTTTTATTTTACTTTTTATCAGTTAGAAGGGGATTTCAATGCAGCAAATACGTCATTTCCGCAATAGAAGGCAGTTAACACATCTTCCTTAGATTTTACATTTTACTTAAGTCAGAACTTAATATTCTTATTAATATCAATGTTCACCAACTGGAAAGCTATTTGTTACCCATAATGAGGACTTAAGTATTTTAACGACATCCAAGAGTATTTACCAATCTGATAATGTAACGACTCTTACTGAAGTCAGGAGGAGAAAAAGAAAACATCCACTGTTGGTTTTTTTCTGGTCTTCAGAGCATGAAAAGACTGATGTCATCTGGACTTCTTTCCAAAAGTGTGGTTAGTCAAAATTCACCTTCTCCTACAACTATGACTTTTATGTATGTACTGGGTCTGGCTGGGAGGGAATTAATTTTCTGCATAGTAGCCCATGTGGTGCTGTGTTTTGGATTTGTGACCACACCAGTGTTGATAACTACATCGATGTTGTAGTTATTGCTGAATGGTGTTGGCACATCATCAAGGCCTTTTCTTTTTCCCCACTCTGTCCCCCCAGCAAGTAGGCCAGGGTGGGCATGAAGCTGGGAGGGGAGACAACCGGGACAGCTAACCCAAACTGACCAAAGGGATATTTCATACCATATGACATCATGCTCAGCAATAAAAGCTGGTGGAAAGGAGGAGGAAGAGGGGACATTCAGGGCTATGGCGTTTTTCTTTCTGAGTAACCATTATGCATGCTGAGGCCCTGCTTCCCAGGAAACGGCTATAAACATCTGCCTGCCGATGGAAAGTAGTGAATTAATTCCTTATTTTGCTTTGTTTGCGTGCGCAGCATTGCTTCACTTATTAAACTGTCTTTATCTTGACCCAGGAGTTTTTCTTCCTTTTGCCCTTCCTACGCTCTCCCCCATCCCGCTGCGGGGGAGTGAGCGAGTGGCTGGGTGGGGGCTTAGCTGCCAGCCAGGCTCAGTCCACCACAACACAGAAGAGTGCTCAGGTGACCCCCACATTCCCATCACATTTTTACCTAAAATAGTATATTTCGTCATCTACAACTTTTGCAGAGAGTGAAAACCTCTTCAGCCCTTTAAATTTCTTCATTTGTTTGTCACTTTCATTGTAGCGGCTCTCACAAAGAAAAACATCGTTTTCAGAGATTTCTGTTGGTCTGCAGGAGAGGAAGTCTTTGAACGACAGAACTGCACACTTTCCTGCAGAAATGAAAGAGCTGGGTAAGAAGGCAGTCACACTTGCAGACATTTTACAAAAAGTGTGGAAACCGAAGGTTTTGCCAGTCTCATAAGACTGGAAGATTCCCGGTATTTGACACAACTATGGAAAATACACCAATTGATATCCCTATTAAATAATGCCACTCACCAGAAACCTACATGAACTTAAATGCAGCTTTTGCATTTTTTTAAAAAAACAAGAAAACTGCAAAATAACAAAACTCCGTGATCACTAGTCAGTTAACTATATTTAGCACAGCATCATAACTACAAAACAAAGTACATAGTCATCATCTTATGCAACAAACCAAATTTCAGCCTCCTTCTGGACCGACTTTCCAGGTAACACATAGTGGAATAATTACATTAGTATGCGAGAAAAATTGAGTTTTCTGTTCTCTGGCTGCAGACAACGTTCACTTTGATATCATACATGTCATTCCCTTATTGTAAGAAAGCGTCCTTATAGTGAAAATTCTCACTACAGCTCCCAAAGACAGGAATGCATATTAGAAATGGACTGAATAATCTCTCCTCCCCCACTCAACACAGAAAAAACCATACTTGGAATCAAGCCTACACGTAGCTATATATCACTTCAGATTGTATAGGAAAAGAAAGAGAGCGTCCATTTGATTTCAAGTTGTTAATAACTACCCAAAATGCAAGTCATCGGACAGGTCTCCTCCAAGTTACTCAAAAACACTTCCTTCTTGTAGAACATTTTAGTTGGTTCATGTTCAGTTTCTTCAGGATGTATAAAGATTGGACCAAAGAAATATGCAGCTCCATCTCGCACCCACATCTTTTCAATTCTGGAAAGAAAAGCAAACCACTGACACAAATGAGAGGCCATCCCTCCTAAATGAGACACCTGGACGCATTAGGTTGTTCAGGAAGACTGTCAGTAAAAAACGAGTACAGAAGAACAGCCTATTCCAACTGTACAACTGTATCACCTTTTTATTAGGTGGCTAAACTTCTACCTCAATCTATTAAGAGCTTGTAACATTTAGCTTAATTCGGAAGATTTTTTTCCCCACCCTCTTTTAAACTTTTTGCAGCAAGCCCGTCTTTTGTCCAAGTTATTTTTATACACACAAACCGCAAATAAAGAAATTGCACCTACCTTCCTACCCGAGGTCGCACTAACCCATGTGATTTTATGAAGACACAGTCCCCAACCTTAAGCCACATATCATTGTAGCAGAGCTGTTCAAAGTAATGGCAACCAGGTTCTCCATTGGACATTTCTACCGGAACATCTTCTTTGTCCTGCAGAAGAATACGCATTTAGAAACTTGTGGAAGAAGGAAAACCAAACACATATATAAAAAGATGCCAGGTTCAGATAAAAGACTTTGCTCTATCTTTATGTTACCAGTAATAGGTAAACACTAACAGAGCTGTACATGCGAAAGTGAGGGACCTTGAAATTTAGAAATGAAATAGCAAAGCCAAAGATACCCTCCATGTACACAAAGCTGTAATTTTGCCAGAACAGTAATTTACAGGTCCTTTTTTCTTCTACTGCTTCAAAGTTAACTGGCCAAGCCAAGCCTTGTCAGCTTATTTTGATGGTTTGTTTTAAAGCAGAGTAACATGCTTAAGAGGCAAGAATTGAGTATATGACCAAGTTACATACATAGAAATTTAATGATTCAACTCTCATATACCATAATACGAACACTCCATGTATTGCTTGCAAATTCATACCATTTGCCCTATTTAATTTCTTACTTTTTAGTTAAAACCCACGTTGTGCCGCATTTGACCTTTTAGTCTAGGATTTCAGAAAGCCAATGAAAACACAGGCTATCTCCCCAAGGCATGGAAGGAAAAGACCCTACAAGTTTTCATTCTCTCAGTAGAAGTAATTCCTTCTTTTGTCATGATGTGAATAAATACAATATATACACTAAGTGTCTGACTAAAGCTGACAACGAGTGTGCTGGGTATTCTGTTCTGAGGTTCTGTTAGAGAACTCAGTGTAAAGTGGATTTATTTTATGACTCTAAGTTTATTTTTTATGGCTCTAAATTTATTTTAGATAAATTCAATTAAATTGAATTAAAGTTAATACATTTATTTAAATTTATTTCTTTTATTACTCTAAATGCAATAAACTAAACCATTTTACCCAGTATGTTGGACAGAAATATTCTTAAGCATTTCAACAATAAACTACTCAGTTATCAACCATGAATAGGTCACAAACAACAGAATATTATGTATTGCTTACTGCTGCCTAGCTACTGCCTATTTTACTGAAATACTACATAATAAAGCATTTCAGCATTGCCATGAACTAAAATTAGACTTTTAGTTCTACTGATTCTTTAGGCTTAAGGCAAGCTTTACAGTAAAAGTGTAATTTTCTTTTCTTAAGTGGTAAAAAAACCCACAAACCAACCCCTTCACACGATCACAAGAAAGCATTTGTAGAATCTAGCAAATATGCACACAGTTTATTTTCTGTTTAGTCTATTTATATTTTGTTTGTATTTATTTACAAATGTGTATAACAATTTATAACATAAACTTTATTTATATTTTATTGTGTCTGAATGCTGTGAAACCAAAGTCATGAGGGCTCACATTTTGTCATTCTTTATCTGTCGAACATAATTGATGTTCCACTTGTTATCTTACATACCTTTTCAAGATGAAGCATACTTTCTCCCACCTTACTGTCCTCCAATGTTTCAGCGTGTTTCTCCTCATCTACTTTGTCTGTATTAGCAAATACAGAAGCAACACGGACCACAGGCAGGGGTACATCTCGTGGGACAAATCTTACAGAGCTTACAGGCATAGTCCACAGTTTAATCTTTTTAAAAGATTTTGTCTTCGCAGAATAACGTGACTCACAGACATAGACATCCTCATCTCTGAAGTTTTCAGGACACAATTTAAAATATTCCTGCAGATTGAAGAAAAAAAGATGAAGTATTTCAGCAACACACACACATACCCCACAGACACACAGCGAACTCCCTCTCATGCTTCCTGTTTTTTTCTACGTTTATATCAGAAAGACTTTTAGACTAAGAAAGCCTTTCTGCTGAGTTCTTTTCTTCCAGTTTGACATCCAAGTTATACTAAAAATTAAAAGCAAACAACAAGAAATCCCACCCTTAGAGAAGAAGCTAAATTCAGTACAGGTTATCATGTGAGAAAAGTTAGGTTTTATTCGTTTACCAAACTGGTACATTAACAAGTACAAGACCTGCAGCCCAGAACCACCTTTACAAGATTTCTGAGCTTTGACTTGGAAAGAGGACATGACCACCAAGTTGGGGGGGGAGGGCAGGAAAGTAAGCTCCATGCTCATTGATATGTGACTGATACCCATTCATGTACTCAGCAGCTGTAGCACTTTTTTCCATACAAACACACTACCTTCTAAAAACTGGCTGAGATAGGTATGTTGCAAGCAAGCCAAAAATTCTCAGCACAAGGACAATGTGGAATCAAACTTGAGACAGAGGTGAAAGACTTCATCCTCTTACCAAGCCATTCAAGTCTCCCTCTCTACCAAACCTAAATCTACATGCTTTTATGGAAACCTTTAAGAAGTTACCTGCAATTTCTCTACTACATGCTCTGAAAAATCAGTTAGCTAATTACCTAACAGGCATATGATACTACAAACCAACCAGCACCAGGAAACACCATCACTTGCATGAACTACATTGCTCATGAAGCAAATGAAGAATACAAACAGTACACAGGAGCAAGTCCTATTTTATTTAAGAATTAGTAGAACGTCTCTGTTAGGATGCCTACGCCTCTTCAAGAAAACAGCAGAGAACATATTTGCTTAACAAATTAGTCTGAATAGTCTCTCACCTTAACAAACATGACCACGCATTTGCCTAAAATTTTGCTAACAGGAACTTTATTGTAATAGTCACTTTTAAAAACTTCCTTCTCCAAGAATTTTCGTGTTGCAAGATGAAACGTTTCATTTGGTCGATAAAACCAACAGCCATAGAGCCAAAAAAAAAAAAAAAAAAAAAAGAAAGAAAAAAGAGAGAGAGACAGAAGGGAGAAAGAAAGAGAAAAAGATGTAAAATGGTATATTCTCTACTGCATCAGCAAGAAAAAACAACTATAGATTGATTGATCAATCAAATAGCCATGTAGTCATTTAGACTGAGAGTAAACTGTTTTAAAACAGGACAAGATTCCCTAACTGTTTCAGGTAAGGAAAACTAGGTGGCTTAAAAAGCCTGCAAATTGGTTTTTCCACAGTAAAACCTGACTCAGCAAAATAAAGGAGGAATCAGTTCTGTTGAGTCAGATGATTTCAGGAAACAGTCTGCAACTTATTTATAAATCTTGACTTTCAGGCCTTGAAATGGCTTCAAAGTCTATACAACAATCACCCGATTACTTGAAGAACCTTTGATAACTGGTTTCAAGTTTTTTAAGAACTATTTCTTCCATATTACACTGTGACAGATTCAAATTGTTAAGAAGTTACAAATATGTACTATTTTTCTAAATCAAAGAAAATCTGTAATCTGTAGACTGAACCAGAATAAAAAGTTCTTTCTCCATCACAGACAAGCGAACATAAGAAACGTCCAACTGGCCAATGGTCCATCTACCCAAATACACTGCATCCAACTGAGTGAGCAGGACAGGCTATTAGAAGAACGCATTTGATCTTGGCCACTCTCCATAACTCAATTCCACTCCTCCTACAGTCATTCCATTAGGAGTGTTAGAGAGCTGTACTTTCTATCCGGCTATTACTTGCAGGTTATTTCCTTTATTATTTGGTTTAGACCTGTTGTACATGGACTTGTCTCACCTATTTTTGAACCTGCTGATACAATCTGCCTCCACAAGCTCCTGGGAAAGCCAGGAGGCTCACTACCCACTGTATTAAAAAGCCAAACGTTTTCACGTGTTTTAATCTGATTTATTAGTGTCAATGAGTGCCCTCTAACTCTAGTACTGCTGGATTTGTTGAATAGTATTTCTGCATTCACTTTATGACTCACTTCATGATTTTGCAAACCTTAATTATATCCTGCCTTACATTTCTCTTCTCCAAATTTAAGAGTCACGGTCTTTTTAATCTGTCCTTATAACACACCCGTTCCATCCCTTTAAAACAAAGTACAACCAAAATGCTTAGCTCCACTATACCCCACTGTAGCTCTCAGCAACTGTAGTTTCCAGGATTGCTGAGAGTGCACCATGCTTATCTGATACTCTTGCCATATCTCTAGCCTTCCTTACACTTAAGAGAAGTATCTGCTGCAAACAGAAAGCATCACTGATGAGAAAAAACAAAATAGTACTTGTTATGGCTTGATTTGGCCTACGAAATGCAAGCTTCAGCTCAATTCTGAAATTCAGCAAAGGCATGTTCTGAAACTGAGTTGTTCTGTGGAACACTTGCAGTTAAATGTGCCCAACTTTAGTTCAGATTTCTCAGCACAGAAAAACCCCATGTGTTCTTCTGCGCCTAAATTACAAGGACCCCATCCCACTTAGAAGAGCCCGTTCTCTGGGATGCTTATGATTTGAGGGTAGGTAGAGATGAACAACAAAAAGTGTGTGCTGATCCAAGAGCTTTATATTTGTAATATTCTTTGGAACAAAGCGACTCAGAAACAAGAAAAATACTCACCAGTCCACACATACTTCTGCAAATAAAATAAATAACATCTACACAGAAAAAGCTCAGATTAGAAGTTTTAAATAGTAATAATAAGAAGTTTCACCATATTGTTTTCCTATAGCAAAGACATCCTTACCAGCTGAATCTTCCCACAGCCTCTCAATACAGACAATGTGAGGCTGCAAGTTGGCTTCAGCAGGTTCCACATACACATAATCTCCTACATGGTACATGCTGTTCTTGAAGCTGCAATCCTGGCTGTAGGTCCGATGCAAGCTTGACAGCCCTGCTGATCCAGAAGAATCTTCACTCTTTTCAGCTTCTTATTTCAAGAAGGGAAGAACAGATGTTAGTAATGCCACATTTCCACATTAGCCAAGATTGCTGATATGAATGCCCTCAACCCTTTGCTGAGTGCAGAAGTGCCACGTGCAAAAGTGCCACATGATACCTGATGCGTCCCTCTGTCACTGACTTCCAGTGTGAAGGAAGGGTTTAAGCGTGTTTTGTGCTGCTAGCCTTACTGGTACTGGTGCTGCTGAAGGTTGGGTTTCTCTTCTTCAGCTGAATTTTATTGAGCCCTCCCAGTGAGTGAAGAAGAACTCAATGACAGCACTGAGCTCAGAAGCCTTCAGAGAGGCAAGTTTTGCTTTCTTTGGGGTTTTTAGCTCTCAAAGGAAGACAGAAAAAGGGCATCACAGCTGTTGTCCCCTTATAATACTGAGCCTGGTTGGAGTAACCAGACTTTACTGCTGCCGACATTAGTGCTATGTGGGAAGATGAACCACGTTAGAAAGACAATTCAAGGACAAAGAGCTAACAGCTCTGCTCCCATCTGTGGAAAGGAGCAATTAGAAAGCTTTATTCATTCCCCTAGACATGCTCCACAACAATTATACGGACAGCAACAGCCAGGAACTGTGACACACAAAGGACCTTCACAGTAGGTTTCTTGCCCTACAAAATAGTGCAAGCCCATTCCTCTTCACACTTACAGTAGCCAAGTAAGAAACACAAAAGGCTTACTTAAATACCATTTCTTTAGCAGTGTTAAAAGCATGATCATAGACAACACCATCAGCACATCAAGAAACCAGTATTTGTCAAAAAGGAAATGACTAAAAGGTCAATTGGAACAGTCATTTCTAATTTTATTATCAGCAGAAAGTTGTAGTAAAAAACTATTGTTTTCTTTTATAATATCCTTGAAATAAGACTACTGGCACCCCAATGCGTTCCGATTAAAGGGTTTACATAAGGTTAGTATCTACCTACATCTCTTTCTTAAAGCTGTCTGGCATGGCTGCTAAGGATCAAAATAAAATAAATGTCTCGTAACTTTAGAATACAAGACCCTTGGTGGACAACCAGACTATTAAGGTCCTTTCAGTAGGCAAAGCTGCTGTAATAGCAGAGCATACATCATATGCATAGGTACATTTTTCAATTAATACATTTAAAATTAATGAAAAGAAAGTAGTTACCTCTCTTCTCCTCCTCTCTTTTGAGCTTATCCTCCTCTATTTCTTTGGGCAGCTTTTCCTTCTTTTCCTTTTCTACATCGTTGTGAAGATGCTTGGTGGTATAGCTGAGAGCGGGTGACAGAAGAATCTCTCCGTTCTTACAAAGTTCATCTCGAATTTTAATAAAGAACTGCTGAAGTTCGACCGCATCCTCGTAAATCTCCGAATCAGTCCTGTACAAAAATACATACAACAGGGCAGAAACATAGTTTGTGCAGAGTCAAACAGGATCCTAAACACACACCCATCAATCACCACACTTAGTGATAAAACTAAAGCTTCACTCTACCAATGGATTTCTGTGCTTACTCATAACAAGCAGCAGCAGACACTGGCAAGTCATGCTCCACCTGCTACTCCGCTGCCAGTTTGTATTACAGTTTACCTAAAACAGTATTTTTGTACACACCAGTCCCGAAATACCAGAAAAATCAAAAGGTAACTGGTTGCGACCAAAACTACTTGCCACTAGACCTCTACAATCTGTTAACTTCTGAAAACTTAAGTAATAACATTATTAACAAAACTGACTTATTTTAATTACCCAGACTCCTGTTAGTAGATGTTTTAATATCATTTTTTACCTCCTCTCCTTCAGAGTCAAAATCTCACCTGCACATCCCCAAGTACTCTACCTAATTCAAGTAAAACACTGCAAGAAGTTGCGAGTGTTCATAGCTTTTGCACAATATTACCATAACCCATACAACTGTGATTGCTCCAAAACGGTAATCCACTAGTCAAGCAGTTAGCGAACAGCTCCTCCTCTTTGTTTTTTCAATTTGAAAGTTAGCACAAATCTGGTTTTCATCAGGTGTGCCTTTGGAAGATTAACATCAAAATTATCTCATGGCAGAAACCTAACTTTTGCCTTGTTTTTAAATGAAAGCATACATTCCACTGAAGACCTGATAGAGCTTTTGAGATTTGGTTTTCTAAACACCCATATCAAGGAAAGCAAACACCTTAAAAAACCTTCAGCCTTTGTCTAACATTAACATGCAAAACTCGCGTGATAAGAAAAAGATACCTGAACAATATGGCTTCGCTCACCTGTTCATTCTCCTTGCCCTCTCCAGTACCTCAAACATATTCTCCTGGAACAAGTCCAGTCTTCTATAGCGATTATTTTCAACATTTTTTCGGATAATATCAAAAGTCAGAGGAGGTTTTTTTGGG